TTTGCTGCCATAAAATTCATCTATCCACCTAGAATACTTCTTTATCAAGGGAGAATTGTTTATTCTAAAATAGACAGTTTTTTTTTTTGACAAAAACAAGCAATGAGGAAAGGACTCCCTATTTAATAAATGGTACTGGGATAACAAGTTGGCCACATGCAGAAGATTAAAACTGGACCCCTTCCTTACACCATAGACAAAAATCAACCCAAGATGGATTAAAGACAAATGTAAAACCCAAAACTATAAGAACCCTGGAAGACAACCTAGGCAATATCATTTGGGAAATGGAAACCTGGAAAATATTTTATGAGGAAGACTTCAAAAGCAATTGCAACAAAAGTTAAAATTGACAAATGGGATCCAATTAAACTTAACAGCATCTGCATAGCAGAAGAAACCATCAACAGTAAGGGAAATGGTGAGTAAATTTAACATGGTATCTTAAAAAGAGTATTAGGTAACAACCAAGGAAACCTAAATAAGTATGGTCTTTAGTTAATAATAATGTATATTAATTAACCACTAATCTGCTTTCTGTCTTTAAGGATTTATGTATTCTGGGTATTTCAATTAAATGCAATTATATACTATGTAGCTTTTCATGTATAGCTTCTTTCATCTAACATAATGTTTTCAAAGTTCATCCATGTTGAAGCATGTGACAGTACATCATTTCTTTTTGTGGCTGCATAATATTCCTTTGTATGGATATGCCACATTTTGTTTTTCTATTTATCAGTTGATGGATATTTAGGATGTTTTTATTTTTTGGCTTTTATGAATATTGTTGCTGTAAACATTCATGTAAAAGTAAAAACAAGAAGAAACTATTAACAGAGTAAACAGACAAACTACAGAATGGGAGAAAATATTTTCAAATCGTGCATCTAACAAAGGTCTAATAGCCAACATCTATAAGGAACTTAAACAAATTCACATGAAAAAAAACCAACTACATTAAAAAGTGCGTAAAGAACATGAACAGATAATTTTCAAAAGAAGACATACATGTTGCCAGCAAGCATATGAAAAAAAGCTCAATATCACTGATCATTAGAGAAATGCAAATTAAAACCACAACGAGATATCATCTCATACCACTCAGAATGACTACTAAAAAATCAAAAATAACAGATGCTGGTGAGGTTGCAGAGCAAATGGAACCCTTATATGCTGTTCAAACCTTGTGGCAAGCTGTAGGTGATTCCTCAAAGAGCTAAAAACAGAACTATCACTCAACACAGCAATCTCATATACTCAAAGGAACAGAAATTGTTCTACCAAAAAGACACTTACACTTCTATGTGTATTGGTGCACTATTCACAATAGCAAAACCATGGAATCAACCTAAATGCCCATCAATGGTAGACTGGATAAAGGGAAGGTGGTACATATAACAACATGGAATACTATGCAGCCATAAAAAGAATGAGATCACATATTTTGCAGGAACATGGATGGAGCTGGAGGCCATTATCCTTAGCAAACTAATGCAGGAACAGAAAAACAAATACCACATGTACTCACTTGTAAGTGAAAGCTGCATGATGAGAACACATGGACACAAAGAGGGGGCAACAGACTCTGGGGCCTATTTGAGGATGACAGGAGGGAGAGGATCAGAAAAAATAACTGTTGTTAATAGGCTTAGTCTCTGGGCGATGCATAATCTGTACAAGAAACCCCCATGACATGAGTTTACCTATATAACAAACCTGCACAAATACCCCCAAATCTAAACTAAAAGTTAGCTCCTTCCTTCCTTCCTTCCTCTTTCTTTCCTTCCTTCCTCTTTCTTTCTTTCCTTCCTTTCTTTCTTTCTTTCTCTTTCTTTCTCTCTCTCTCTCTCTCTTTCTTTCTTTCTTTCTTTCTTTCTTTCTTTCTTTCTTTCTTTCTTTCTTTCTTTCTCTTTCTTTCTTCCTTTCTTTCTTCCTTTCTTTCTTCCTCTCTCTCTCTCTCTCTCTCCCTCTCTCTCTCTTTCCTCTTTCTTTTTGATGGAGTTTCACTCTTGTCACCCAGGCTGGAGTGCAATGGCACAATCTTGGCTCACCACAACCTTCACCTCCTGGGTTCAAGCGATTCTCCTGCCTCAGCCCCCTGGGTAGCTGGGATTACAGACATGCACCACCACATCGGATTAATTTTTGTATTTTCAGTAGAGATGGGGTTTCTAGAACATGATACCCCAAAGTATGGCACATTGGCATGCTGAGTATTTTGAAATGAAGGAGATTTCAATTTCTCAGAAAGGTCTGAGAAGAAAATTTTCTATGACCTACTCCTAACCTCCTATCTCTTTCCCCTTGTTCTTTCCAGAAACAGGTCATAGAAGCCAAAATTCCTCCTTCAAAGCCAATAATAGACTTGACTATGACTTGGTTCATAGAAACTAGAACCTCTTTCCCTCAAAGCAAGCCATAAAGTCTAGAAAAGTTTTCCCCCTTTCCCTTTTCTCTTGAAGATCGTCATTCCAGAGGGCTGTTGTCCATACCTCAGAGGAAGGGATGCTACACAGACAGGCCAAGGAGAATCTGAACAGAAAGGCCTTGTACATTTCTCCCACCAGCCTATTATCTTTAGATCATATTTTTTATCCAATCACATTCCTACATGGCTGTTCGTTCTTCATCGAACCTAAAACAGTTTTCCCTGGGCCTTTAGCTCTTCATTTCTGAGGCTGCTGTGTCACTTAAAACTTAGATTAAATAAATTTGCTATGCTTTTTTCTTGTAAACCTGTCTTTTGTTATAGGAATGTTGACAATGACCCTTATGATGAGTGAGGACAGGGAGGATATCCTTCACCCATACAGGCCAGAAGGGCAGGACAAGCTCTAATTGTTTACTACTGTACAACATCTAGGAAAATTCTGATACAAAAAAGGAGATCAAAGAAGGCTTTTGGTAAACATCCATTAGGAGAACTAGATAGCACAATCCAATGTAGTTATGATTGACTCCCTCAGCTCTCCCAGCATTAGAGGCTCTTCCAGGACTAATGAGAATGTTCACTGGCCTATAAAAGTCTTGAACTAAGGATTCCACCTCAGTTTGGAGGCAAACCATGTGTTTTGCTCTGTGCTTTTTACTGGTTTCTAAAAAGTCTAGTCTTCCCATAATGATATGATAAGTTAAACTGGAATGCAACAGAACTTCAATTCTGACAAAACTATTTGTTCTACATTGACCTGTACAAGCATGGCTTATAAACAACCTCAGGAATTAAAAAGATCACCACAAGCCAAGGTCTATAATAATATTATTTTTTTCCTTAAAATGATATTTGTAAATCATTTTTAATTATATAATACTTTTATTTCAAATAACATGGGAACATTAGGATGGCATATAATCACAACCTTGTTTTTTTGTTTGAGACAGAGTCCCACACTGTTGCCCAGGCAGTAGTATAGTGGCGTGATCTCGGCTCACTGCAATCTCTACCTCCTGGGTTCAAGCAATTCCCCTGCCTCAGCTCCTTAGTAGCTGGGACTACAGGCATGCACCACCATGCCCAGCTAATTTTTTTTGTATTTTTAGTAGAGACAGGGTTTCACCATATTGGCCAGGATGGTCTCTATCTCCTGACCTTGTGATCTGCTCGCCTCAGTCTCCCAAAGTGCTGGGATTACAGGAGTGAGCCACCGCACCCAGCCCTGCAACCATTTTTTAATTATTAGAAAAATACACCAAGGAAAGGCAGCAAAATAACAATTGATTGTCTTTGGATAGTAAGATTATTGGTAAGTATTTTTCTTATTTATACCTTCCTGTATCTCACAATTTTTGAAGACAATAAATAGGTACTATTTGTGTAAGTAAAAAACCTTCATGCTTAAAATGCTATAAAATCACTATTAATTTTTCATGTATTTCATTTCCAGCTAATTGCTCCAATCACCTCTGTAGCTTAAGATGTATATTTTCATAAATTATTTGAATTAGAACATAATTCTGTTGGAAGAAATGTGTCAATGCTGTTATGAAAATAGAAAGAGGGCCTACACTAGAACTTTTCTCCAGAAAAAAACAATGATATACATTTGGAAATGCCAATGTATTTCTCTGAGTTACAGCTTTTAAAAAGAAATGCATGTGAATATCTCATCTTTGTTCTATGTTTCCCCATATTAACCTGAATTCATGGCAAATATTAACTATAACTTTGTGTGGATTTTTGGGGAAGAATTAAGAATTACTTTTAAAAATTACTTTTAGAAAAGGAACTGCCATTTGTGGTTGCTAAATGTTTCAATTCCCAGAGTTGGAAATATCAACTACGTTTTAGAACAAATTCCCTTTGTTCTGGGAAATTCACCAGGATGGAACTTTTAATTACATAAAAGTACCTACCATTGGTCCTGGAGAAAATTATGAAGTCTCCACAATTTGAATGTAGTAATATAAATGGCTGCATTTTTAGGCAGACTATATCTTTGTAGAGTTAGAGAACTGTTTTCCCAAAATACAGATACAAAGAGAATGTCAGTGGCCTCCATATTAAGATTGAATTATCCAAAAACTTGGGAAGTACATTTTTCACCTACTATGATTGCATTATTTAAGCCTTGACTGTCAACCCATGCCTGGTTACTTCTGCTAAAATACCAGGTACCTATTTTCAATATTAGTCTAGGTAGAGTAAGAATTGGTGGGCCTGGTCGTTGGGGCATTTCTGAAATATAGGACCAAAGAAATAGGGGTCTTGAAGTTAAGGAACACAGAGATTTCTCCTTGGCTGGAGTAGTGTACTGGCGTCCAGACACATGGGAGTCTGCACAAAGCTAGGCTACAACCCCAATACTGGATTCAAATGTCCATGGTAAATCACTGAGGTACCAGAGTTCATCTCTGAAATGGTAAAGCATCATTGTCCCTCACCTTGCTGAGATTTGGAAAGCTTAAGAGAAAGGATCTATCTATATTAGGAACAAAACAGTGCATTGTGAACAGTGTCAGTTCTCACTTAGAAATGGTCAAAGGTGACTTGGAGAGTTCTGTATGGCAGATTGGCCACCACGATGGGTTAGAGGGATGTGGTAGCATTCTCTAAGGATTCCCAGGAATACTTGAGGAGAGAAATCCTAGAAAGGAAATGTCAGATTTAAATATTCTGGGCAAGTGGAAGTTGCCAATCATTATAGCTTAAACAGTACAAGCAATGTAACTCCAAGCTGGATAAGGGTCTGCTGTCTATGCATGTATAATCTAATCTTTATAATACATTAAAAAATAGTTTGGTAATTTCAGTCAATCAGATGCCAATTTTGAGTTCACAGCATAAGCTGTTAAAATGTGTTTAGCAAACACTTCACCAGAAAAGCCCTTCTGTGTTTTCAACTCTACCTAATTCCTGATTTTTTTTCTCTCTCAGCTAAGAAATTATCACTCCATTCTTGTAAGTCTCATTGTTAGACAGTTCTTTGTTATACATTCCTCGCCTCCACACTAACATTCCTTTTTTATTTATAAGGAGAAAATTCAGAGAACACATCTACTTCAAAACACAGATCAAGTCACTCCAAATAATAAGACAGGATAAGTCAAACTTATATTCCTGTTGGGCTTCAAGAGGTGTGCATATGTTGTCAAAATCCTATGACTCAGCACACTTCTGAGGCAAGCAGACTGAATCACTGTTTCCTACATAAGCATCAAGGCTCCCACTACATGGTTTCAGGGAAAACAACCCTGCGATCCTGGTCACCACCTCCAGGAGAGGCTAGACCTCAGGTGGAGCCAGAGATAAATAGTGGCAAGTGTCCGAGAACCACTGAACCAGCAGAAGGGGCGTGAAAGTTTGGAGAAATAGGAACCCTTTTACACTGTTGGTGGGAGTGTAAATTAGTTCAACCATTGTGGAAGACAGTGTGGCAATTCCTCAAGGACCTAGAAATAGAAATTCCATTTGACCCAGCAATCCCATTACTGGGTATATATCCAAAGGATTATAAATCGTTCTACTATAAGGACACGTGCACACGAATGTTCATTGCAACACTCTTTACAATAGCAAAGACCTGGAGCCAACCCAAATGCCCATCGATGATAGACTGCACAGGGAAAATGTGGCACATATACACCATGGAATATTATGCAGCCATCAAAAACGATGAGTTTGTGTCCTTTGTAGGGACATGGATGAACCTGGAAACCATCATTCTCAGCAAACTGACAGAAGAGCAGAAGGTCAAACACCGCATGTTCTCACTCATAGGCAGGTGTTGAACCATGAGAACACATGGACACAGGGAGGGGAGCACTACACACTGGGGTCTGTTGGGGGGAAATAGGGGAGGGACGGTGGGGGTGGAGAGTGGGGAGAGATAGCAAGGGGAGAGATGCCAGCTGTAGGTGATGGGGAGGAAGGCAGCAAATCACACTGCCACGTGTGTACCTATGCAACAATCTTGCATGTTTTTCACATGTACCCCCAAACCTAAAATGCAATAAAATAAATAAAGGAAAAAAAAAGAGAAAATAGGTACATAAGAGGCAAGCTATCTAGGAGAGAAGTGGTAGAAGCCTGAGATAAGCAGACAGGCAGAAAGCGAAACAGTGAAGAATGGAACAGGGACCCAATAACAGACTAGCTACCACCTGAAGCACTGCCAGGTACTGTGGCAAAGAGAAAGGTGCTAATTGTGTAGTGACTCTTAAAGCTTCTTCCCCAAAGTGACATATCCTGTATCCACTCACAGTTCATAATCCAAGGTCACATGACCATTCTCAACTTCAAGAGGGTAGGGAGGTGGATTTCTACCACATACCTAGTAACAAGGAGAACCAAAATATTTGGAGAAGTGCCTAACAGCTACACTTGCTAGTCTATAATCATTACCTAAGGAGACTCCTTGCAGCTATATATGAATTCATGAGATGAATACACCCTAAAATAACTGCCTAAAGACCTTAAAGGTCTTTCAGTCTTGGCCATTTAACTTGTTGAAATATTAAGTTCAGTCAGGGAAAAATACTTTTCACTTTTATTTTCCCACCCTAACCTTGGGTGTATTCTCTCTTTCCAGCACAGCAACATGACTCTCACCCTTTTTGAAGCATGGTTTAGTCATTCAATAAATACCGAGCATCTACTATGTGGCAGGTATTGGAGATATAGTAATGAACAAGGCAGACGTCTCACAACATCCCTATCATCAAGGAGCTTAAGATCTATCAGAAAAATAGAAATTAGGCAAATGATTACATGGTTATTTACTTATGATTGTAATAAGGGATGGGAAGGCAAACATTGTGCAATGAGAATGTAAGAACAGGGAAAAGTAGAGTAGTCAGCTAGTTGGGAAGCTGGTCAGGTAAAAGTCTGGAGAATGATTATAAGCAGAGAAAAAGAAATGCTTGTGGGAAGGCCAAGAGGTGGGAAAGCCATTGATACTCAAAGGTAACTAAAATAAATCCAGTACGGCTGAAGCAGAGTAATCAAGAGAAAAAGGCAGGGGGCTAGAGAGTGAGGCTGAGCTGAGATCACGGAGGTAGTCATAGAATAAATTAAGGAGATTACATATTAAGCTAAATGCCATAGGAGGTCATTGATGAGTTTTTGGGAAGAGAATGACATCATCCCTATAGATAATGAAGGCTGCTCAGAAGGAAATTTACAGGAGTAATTATTAATATATTGTACATAAGAGTGGCTCATTCCTTTACCACCTCCTTTACTCAAATGTACCTGCTTCATGTGCACTCACTTTTAACCACCCTAAGATCACGCCGTCACTCCTTCCACACCAGCTCTCAGATCTTGCTTACTCCTTTACAAGAGTATTTGCCACTTTCTAAATTTTAGACAATTTACTTATTAGTTTATTGTCTATATTCTCTTGCTAGAATTCTTTTTCCTAGAAAGCGAATGGCATATGAGTTCTGGACAAATATTTGTTGAATTAATGTGATATCACATTATGATTTAAAGCTGTGTTGTAAGATGATTTGTCTATCAGTGTTTATGATTTAATATATTTAGATAACTGTCTCCTAACTATATGGTCCTTAAGCAAAACATATACTGTGATTTAATTCTTAAATATGAAAATTGCTCTTGCAGCAGAAATTCATCACATGCTTATTAAGGCTTATGGAAAAGTGTTTTAGTTGGTAAAATATCAAAGCTTTGAGCAAATTTTAGGAAGAAAGACTATCAAACTTGATCAAGAATCATGAGTCACAGTTGACAGCTTAGCTATTTTACAATGTGGCTACATATACCTAACAAAATGTACTGCTTGCTAACAAAATTGTAGTTTTTTTCACAGCACAGCAGTGATTAACTCTATAAATCTACTTTTGAATAATCATTGTAACCTTACTTGAAGGTATTTTAAGGATTCATATGCAGTTAGCAAATTAACAGCTTGTCATAATGTCTAGAATTTCTTGGCGTAAAGCCATTTGATTCGAAAAAAAAAAAAAATCAGGTAGTGGCCTTCTAATTTCTCTATGTATCTGACTTCACATAATCAGAAGTTGCTAGTTTATTTCAGAGATTAAATTTTCAAAAAAATTAATTTCCTTTTCCAGGGTCATTACTACCTGTGATTTCACATTAATTCATTTATTAAATTCATTTATTAGATATCTACTAAGTTTTACAACTGTGCTAGATGTTGGTCAACTTATTCATTAGCTCACTCATCACACATATCTGTACTGAGGAGAGGCACAAATTTTAAGAGGTAAAATGGGACAGTTGAATAGTCAGTAAATTCATTCATCTATAAAAATCGAGAAGGCATAGGAAAATAAAGGAAGACATTTGCTTTTTATAAAAGGAACACATCCAATTTGCACCAATTTCAAAGTTATTTTTGCTGTAGGTAATACTGAAAGCAAGATTAGATTATGATTAAAATTATCTGTCAAACATATATAGATATATTAAACCAAATATAAACAACAAAAAGTAATTATATTATTTGAATTTTATGTTTAACACTATAAGGAAATATCTTTCCATATTATTGATAGTCTACTCCCTAGACCTCTTGAAGACAGCTTAAACCATGAAACGAAAGTGCAAGATAATAAGACTAAAATGGCAGAATTCTTGCTACCTTCATTTCCTGCCTCTGCACCCTTTCTTAGAAATGGGACTACTTTATTCATACCTGCAGGATCTATGCTATTCTAAGTCAAAACTAAGCCTGATACAAGCCAGGCAGTATTTAAGAATAACATTTAATTCTTCTTCTGGGTTTTCTCTTACCAGCACTCCTCCGACTCAAGTTGGAGTCCTGCCCCTGCTCCTAGTTTGCTGACTGGGCTGTGCTTCCTCATGGTAGATTTGCCTGGATAACCAACTACTACCTGCTTAGCTCTCTGCTTGCTGTGGCTAACAAATACCTGTTATTTTCTGAAGTGTTGAATGTTATCTTCATATATGCAATTTGGGCTTAGGTGCCTGCATCTTGAATCCTGGAGGTAGGCTGAAGTCTGCATCTTATTTTTTTTCATTTTTCCATAGCTGGGCCCACCTAAATGAAGCATCAGAGTACATACTTTTAGCAATAGTTAAAGCAATCTATTCTACATATGCTTGTTCATAGTTATAAAAATTAGACATAGCTTGTGTTGGAGTATTTTTCCACATGTGCAACAAGATTCATTACCCCAAGACATCTTCCACATTACGAAGGTAGCTCAAGTTATTTAATTTCTCAAATGATTCTACTAATTGTGTTCTTCTGGAAGTTTCCATGTAGGAAGAAACTTGCTAACCGTGGAATGAATACTTGTCTACAGGCCAGATTTCAGACAAGCCTATGTCAGGTAGCCCTACCCACAATCATGACCTTTCATCTACTCTGTGGTGCTAAAAGACCTAGTGCATTATTTGATGACAGGTGCTTTGGTTTCCTGAATAAAGGAGGCCAAGATGAAACTGACGAAGTTTAGAATCAGTGAGGTATCAAGTTCCAGAGGTATGTGTTCAACTTTCCAGATGACAGTGACACTTAAAGCTATCATAAATGTTATATCCAGCTTTTGAAATGGTCACTATGGGGGAATCAAGTGGTAAAAGACTGTTGAGAAATGAGTTCTGTGACTGTGGTCAGTTCCCTGTCAT